TCAGGTGTCGCAGATACTTTAAATAATCATTAACGTTACTGCGTCTCGTTAACGTTATCGTAAAGACGCCAAGGCGTCGCAGCGATTTCCCCTCCTGGCAGTGGGGGGTGTTGACAGGGCCGCATAAATAAGTCTCAGAAATAGTTGGTAACTACGACGACTTAGCGTCACGTCAATCGGCGTCCCGACGTGGCGTAAAGACGGCGTCACCGTCGATTTCAGGCGCATTGGGAATCAGCGCCTTTACGGCACGGAGGAGCGTGTCGTCGCGACGCCACTCGTCATCCGCCGATGGTGTCGCACGACGTCGTTCTCCACTTCTTATGCCTGTCGACAGCCGTACCTATATCAGACACGAGAGGAGGACCAAAGGGAATTAGAAAAAAAGAAAAAAAAATAAGATGGCATAGATGATACGAACCAGGACTGGATGCACTTTGAGCTACAGATAGTGACAAAATTAGAAGTCATCGGGGCAAGTCAGAGAAGAAAATTTTCGAGCGACGCCCGTCGTCGCGACGCCCCGTCCTTCGTAAAAAAAACATCGTTGAAAATCCAAAAAAGATATAACTTTTGAATTCGCGTGAATAACGAAAAAAAAATAGGCAGGTAAATTTTTTTTTTATTTTGAAAATTTTTTTTATCACATAGATACACTGTCAATTATATAATTTATTTTTTATTTCTTTCTCACACACCCCGTTGTCACTCTGTTGATACTTATCACCCGTAGACCTGTCATGGAAGACATGTCAGTGGTTTAAAATTTATTTAGTTCTACGATAATTAGTGTTTTCTTTTCGCGTAATTGGAACGCGTGCCGGCTGGTCCACCCACTTTCCGCCCACCACTCTCCTACACAACAACCGTTGGGTAATGTCATAAATAATAGATATAGGTCACGTTAACAGTGCTTTCCTAAAATTAGAATCCCCTACGGCCAAGGGAACAACAATCGATAATCGATACCAATATGATAAAGGTAAATTCACAAGGCTCGTAAAAGTAAGGGTGAACGATTAAAAGAAATATTCTGTGTTTACCCTTGAAAAAAAAGGCGAGCATTGAATTTTAGAGATTAGAATTTAAAAATAGCTGGATAATTAATTGACGCGTTAATATAATAAAAATAATGGTAATAATCATTCAGAAACGTATCAAGGGCTAATTTATTCGTTAAATCAAAATCATTTATTAAGTTTAATTCGTCCTCGATATCAATGACGGCCATTAATTGTCTTTTACTGTTACTATTTACGCTAATTATCAGCATAAAAATTATACGCGCTGTATGCAATGAGTGAAAAAAAAATTTTGATACCGAAACCAAAAAAATAATTCCGCTTTGATTTTACGTAGCTCCACGCGAAAGCCATTGTCAGACAAAAAGAATAACAGTCGATGGGAAAGGCTTAAAGCTTTAAACCGACCCAGCTTTAAGCTTAGCGTGCAATTAACCTGCTAAGCCCTGCCTTTAATTAGAAGCATTTTTGGAATAATTGTGTCCGTGCATTATAAATTCACCATACATACCGTATCCCAGCACCCTACGGCAACCCTCGTGGTGTCGCTACCCTTTCGCAAGCAGAGCTTCGTGTTACACGTGAATACTAGTCTTTAGCCAAAAGGGATGGACACGGCCGCGGGATCTAAGCTCCAGGACGTTCTGTGCTCTTTCATTATTTCGACTTGACTTGTAACTTTATAACGCGGTAAAGCGCCAATTAGAGAGTATAATCTACCCGTAGTACCCAAGGGATCAAATAAAGGACCATCGGTGTCGGATTTTGAAATATTGGAACAGTACAGGTATAAGGTTGAAAATTGAATTTTTGAAAATGCTGGATTTTTTTGAAAACCAAAAAAAATGTTACAACAGCGTTTATCCACTGTACAACATATAATCTAGACAATTACAGATTACATAATCAACACGTAGTTTCGTTATAACGTATTCGTAAGACCCGAAAGAATAAAATTTAAAAAAAAAAATTTATCAATTTAAAAAAAATTTTGCGAAATCTTCTTTTCATTTATATCTGTCACTAGTTAAATGGACCTGCGAAATTTTCTTATCATACGAAGTAATTCCCATATGTCGCTCAATAGCCTTTTGGACTTAACAAAATTGTCAGTAAGCTCATAAGCTCAGTATACCATGTACAGGTTGTTACATATATCGGTAACCACATTCAGTCTTGATATCTTTCCAAAGCGTACACCCGGTATACATAAATAAACCCATCTCCAATATGTATAGGATTTCGTTTGTGCGCGACCCTTGAGAATCTAACCTCAAGGACGGAATTGCGTGGTCTCTTTAATTAAAGCGAGTATTTGCTACCGGACGTGGCAGGAGCTGCGAGGCTGCTGCTACTGCTGCTCCTATATCTCCCGGCCTCTGCTTTCTGCCCGTTGGTTACTGCTATTGGCTTTTGGCAAAGGGTAGCGCAGCCTGCGAAAGGGCGAAGGGACGAGGTACAGGGAACAGGGATGAGACTGAAACAGAGGCTGCGGCCATGCAAACACGTTCGGTGGTGTCTCTTCTTAAAGTTACGATTCGCTTCCCAACAAATATTCCTGCACCGGACGCGTTGCCAACTTCATACTGTTGGGAGAAGCGTGATAGGTTTACGTGGCCGCGACGCGTTACTAAATTGTGCAGTCGTGACGTCGACATGGAAACTCGTGCCCGGAGTCATGTCCCTTGTTCGTTTGAGGTTAGGTTAGAATAAAAAAAAATAGAGGTTAAAATAAAAAAAATTTATTGTTATACAATGAAAAAATAATTTTTTAAGCAAAATTATGTTTTAATGGGATTTTAATGAGTTTAATTGATTTTATTATTATTATGCTCTTCAGGTAATTTAATGTTCTTCCTCTTATTCTAATGATCGATCGGCATCGATCGGATCGATACTCCGATAGCAATCTTTGGAATTGTCTATTTCTGCTGGTTTAGATTGGATTCCAATGGGTTTGCAACTATCCTAACAAACTGTAATTACTTTTGCGTCCGCTAGAAAGCGCTCTAAGCCGAGCAACTCGATTGTGCCAGTACGGTTGGTTCTCATTATTACGATTCTTGAGCGCAGCTTTCCACGAGTTCGCTTTGGCATCAAGGCGAAGCGACGAATGAAAGGAAATAAATGAGAGCGGATGAATCCTTTCAGCGGGATCTTGAGGCACGTCCAAATCTTCTACGGGACTTACGTTTACCTTTGATTGATCAGGAACTATGGGAAAGTTGATTAATTGTTTCATATTGAAAATCAAAATTTTTTTTTTTTTAATTCAACTTTATTTACCAAATATTCAATTATCAACGACTATCCAACCGACCGAAGTTAGTTTCATCTAATTTATATGGTGGAGCCACCTTCGGGTGGGTACTTTTGAATCGACCTCTACAAAAAATCATTTCTAACCTAACTTTTTATATCTTATTACTTGCCCTCGCGTATGGGCATCGAAACCCCTTATAATGAAAAAATAATAAAAATACCTCTATTTAAATTGTATCGTGTATACGTATATTAAGAGTGTACAGTTCGCTCTGTACTTAAATATCTATTAGGATCGTTCAATAACATGGGAATAATTGTTCATTTTTTTCATAGCCAATTTGCGCCTACACGCTGCACGTATATTCGACTCCATCGATTTCTCGTAATGGTAATGCATTACTAAGGAAACTGAACTACGATCAGACTGTAACTACTTTTGCCCAGCTGGAGCCTGGTAATAGGAGTCGATTGAGTTAGCTCGTCTCTCGTTATTGCAATTCTGGCACCGGACTCAGGTTCCTCTTTCGAATAACGCTGTAAAAGGGGACAGGCAATTTTACAGGAATTAAACCCAGTCGGTTCATCAATTCGCGAGATATCGAACCTCGCAAAATATTGCCGTGGTAAAAGAAATTTTTGAAAAATTATTAAAAAATCGTTGGTCTTGGAAAAAATGAAAATTTTGAAAAATTATGTTCCGTGACGTCACCCGTTTTAAATTTCGAAGAAACTTAGCTTTACACGTAAATAGCCATTGTCAAATGGTAACTTTCTCGAATTAAAGCACAGGACGTTTCTCCAATATTCTATTTATTAGAAATCATAATGGCCGCCTTGATAAAAGCCATTGTCTTTGGGATACACGAGTAGACTTTGTCCAAGAGCGAGAGGGGGGTACCTGAAAGTTTAAAATTATTCAATAATAATTACCAGCCAGCGACAGGCTTAGTATGAAAAGTTTTCCGTCTCTCTCTCTCTCTAACCATTTGACCCGTTTAATATCTCATTGGTAGCAACTCTACTTTGTTAAATTCTGTCTGAGAAGTCTTGGCAAAGGTTTCCTGGTCTTTTAAGAAATTATCTTTTCAGGTCATCCACGGTCTTCTCTGTGAAAACTTGGTTTACGCGTCAATTCCACCTGAGGTTCTGCAACGAGTCAATAGCGACGGCAGCAGCACCTAGCGGCATCATTAAAAATTTAACGTCTTACAGCGTCTGGATCCTTGATGAATTCGATAGGCGATAGGCATTTTGAATATGTCACGTGGAGTATATATATTTTTTATTTACAAAAATAATTAAAAAATTTTGATATTCATTTTGAAAAATACGCCAAAAAAATTACAATTTTAAATTTTAAAAGACGGGTTCGGACTCTGTATAAAATATTTATTTAAGACTATATATATCTATATACTGTTTTTGCGAATTCTCAATAGCTTTTTGTTCAGTGTCTACAGTGCTTTTAAAATCCCTAACGAGGACTCCTGTATACAGGTATACATCGTGCCTTGTGTTTCTACTACCCTACACAGGATTTCTAGCGGGTAAGACTTTGGCACAAAAGCTGAAGAACGATAGGGGGCAGTAGGAAAGGTGGTTTCCTGAGAGATGAAATAGTCTCCGCTGCCTATGTAGTCGAGCGCGAAGTAATGGTTACGAAGTTAGCGAAGTCACGGGGCGTCGTTAATTACTCCCCCAAGAATGTTATATCAAACCTTCATTTAGTTTAACCCGGCCGCCACTGGCGGCGCTAGTGTTCCCGCCGCCGACGCTGCTGCCGCGCAGATATGCGGAATATTAATGATCTAACATTTGTAACCACAAGGATATTATGCCTGGGTTCCCATTACCATTGCCTACGTCACTTTATATCCATAATTGTGGTAAACTTGTAGTGGCATCTTTCACGGTGACAGTTAATTGTCAAAGTGTACGGATAAGGAACGAGATTCTCAAGGTTAATAATTCAAATTACGTATTACATGAAATTTTTTATTCAACGATTCGAACTCATTGGACAGGTAGACCATTTATTGTTTCAATTGTTTAATTTTTACGAATTTATTTATAACTATAAATTTTATAAAGTGCATCTGTGTCTTTGATCGAATAACGATTTTACGGACTTTTTGAAATTTGGCTATTACCGTCGTTGTAGGGTGGCAGTCGGGGGACGCTAATGAAAATAAATGATCTTTTGTTCGTAAAGAAGTGTAATTAGTCTCTATTTTATAGTATTTAAGAGGAATTATATTACCGGGCTATGGAGCGTTCCCTCTCTTTCGCTCTGTTGCCTCTTCTAAGCCCTCTAGATCTCTCTCTCGCTCTCTTCCGATTCGCAAGGCAAATTAATTGAAGACAATGCCAAGCAGAGATTCGAATTGTAGCGCGGCATTACTGCCAACCGCAAATAGACACTCGAGCGTTATGGTAATGCCAACGTCAAGAATTCGAAATATTCTCAACGTTACATTCAAATCGAAAATTATTCATTTCGAATTATTCATACCGACCGGTGTTACCGGAAATCATAAAAAAAAAACAGGCGAAAAAAAATTTGAAATTTTATAAATACTTCCAGTCCTACAAACGTAGACTATATGTATATCTGCATACATAGAAATTTTTTTTAATTTCTCGATTAACTCTGCGAGGAATTTTTCGAATTTTTCTTACGGACAAATAGTAACGTAAGGATAAAAGGGTTCGTCCACACCGGAGATGGAACGGTGTCTCGATAGGAAATGTTATGAATGGAAAATAAATTTTTTTTTTTACAAACCATTTTCTCTGATCTTACGGAAAATACGCTGGGAGTGCCATATGGGGAATTCGATGCTTCAAAATTTCCAAAGAGACTGTCCTTCCATGGCTGGCGTACTTGAAAAAGCGACGCTTGGCGTCGACGTCTCGCGAGACCTCGGCAAATATTTTTGCACGACTCGTACTCGCGAAAAGCAATTGCGTCAGAATGTTTCAACCATTGTTCGATTCAGCAGTCCCATTCCTGTCGTTCCCTCTATTCGTCTATTCCAATTCGCTCAGTTTCACGTCACACTCGTGCAATATCGTGAGTACTCGTGTTCGTTCGGCTTCGCTACAGGGTACAGTAACCTGAAAAAATTTATACGCCACCAATTGAAATGCAATTTCATTACGACACCCAATGAATCGGATATGAAAATTAAAAAATTAGATACCAATTTTAATTGAAAAAAATTTTCAATTTATTTCTTATTAAATTTACCCCCCCTCCCCTCCGCCCGACTACAAGATCAAATATACCTATACTTGCGCTAACGACTTTATGGGTAGAAAATGACGAAAAAGGGGTGAAACAAGGGTGGGACAGAACAAGTAAGATGAACGTACTAGAAGCATGGGAAATATATTCCAGCAGTATTTCGAAAAAAAAAAAACCTGCAAAAAGCTTGAAGTAAGATATCAGAGGGGATGCAGGGGTACAGTAAGAGACAAAAAAAATCGCACGACGCAGGCAGCTACGCTCGGTGGCGAACACGCTGGGCCGTTTATAACGTTTGACAACTAGGAAGTGTCATAGGGAATTTATTTTACCGTGGCATTCACACTGCAGCTACAAGTTAGCGATACATCACCCGTGTGTGCGCATGCGCACCAGACCGTTGAATTTATAGGTGTGAAGATCGCTTAACGATTTTTCATGTTTTTCCCCATAGCCATATCATTAACAACCTCGATACAGTCGCACTTGCCACCCGAAAAATTTCTTCGTACGGAGCACCATCGGTTTTCAAAAATTTTCCAAAATCTTTGGCGCAGAAAAAAAAATTTTTTTAAATGAATATTCGTGCGGGACAAAATTTTTTATCGGTCGTAACAACCTCAATCTTTTTTTTCAAAATAAGATTAAACATATTATATCTATATCGATACAGGGTGGCCAATTCGTGAGGAACGAATAAGGGTGAAAATAGTGTAGCATTAATTTGAACACGGGCTCGACATAAATATTAAAGAGGTGGCCGGTACCGAACCGCTTTGAATTAATAATCAACCCTGTCAGACACGTAGAGTGGCAGCTTGCAGCCCGAACTTCAATGCTGATGGGTAGAAGCTATCTCGTAATTTGGAATCCCGTGGGATGCACTTGGTCGGGCACCTTTACGAAAACGTATATGGATACCTGTATATATACGTTCTACCATAGGTAGATAGATACCTTGATACCTTACTACGTACTTGTCTCACGGGAAATTCAAAGCGGGTGGGTTCCTATTTAATAACGCCATTACCCTCACGCACCCCTCTGACATATTCGACGTTCAGATAACAAATGGCTATCGACTATGAATTACAACCCGATACTTTATTATTGACCACGATTATAAGAGCCTTCGCGCCGTAACCTATTTCTGATAACTTTATAATATATACACAGACAGCATTCAAAACCATGTAAGACCGTGATTTCCAAAAATTAGTATTAATTACTGCAAAGACCAATGCACGTGAATCCATGAAAAGCAAAAGCCCCCGATCGGCAATTATAGAAAATAAAAAAGACACCCGTTACATTTATTCGCTGGGCTAGATAAGGGTGGAAATAATTTTTTTTTATGATAAGGGGCTATCAAAAATTATCCAATACCTCCAGATGAAAACGTAAGATCGTTAATTTTTTTTTGAAAAAATCCATTGAATTTTTCCCAGCATCCCCCAGGTCAGTAATCTTCCCGTGGACCGTTTCGCAGCCTCCGCTGGCCTCCCGATATCCCGAAGCTTGTTGTCGCTCGATAATCGACACGAGACACGTACCAAGGCCGGGCACGTTGCCGGAAACTGAATTACCAACTGCAGCATGATTTAATAATGCCCAACCCCTACGATATATCGAAGCTATTTGGCTCGCGTTCAAGCATACCCACCTCCACCTCGGTCTTTACCCCTCCCTGCTCCCGCTCTAAACTCAACCCCTCGATACTTCACTCCGATTCTACTACCCCTCTCACTCTGCACCCTTATTTCTTCCGCTGTGACAACATATCCCACATCGTTGATAACCTGTTCTAAGCCACCCCCTATATTCACCCCACGTATCTATACGCCTTGATCCCATTGCCGTAGTACGTACCAAGGCGACCGTATCAGCCTGACCGCCGGTTAGGTTAGAGTATATATAAATTTCCAAAAATCCTGAAGCAATAGCCACATATACCCCTTGTGAAAAATGAACGTAGACCGATTTTCGATGAAATCGAAAAAATTTGATTTTCTCGTGAAAATCGAAAAATTCAAAAATATTACGTACGACGATGTTTTTCCAAAATTCATTAAATATATATCAAGCAACTATAAATGACAGTAAAGAACCGGAAGTATATTAACACATCACGATTAATAATAATTTCGTACGGATAACAAAACTTCATAAATCACACAATTCCTTTTATAGATTCCTAATATCCGTAATACCAATCACTCCTATACTCGGCTGTACCATACAAGGTAGTAGGTTAAATCTGATATTACGTCACGATAAAAGTAATTTAAAATACGTATAATTGATATTATTCATAATCGTCATCCCTAATCGTGTAATCGACTCTATCGGTACTGTCGATAATCCAGACCAATCCTTCTATAAGGCACTTTTGGCTCGAACACACTGTACAGGAGACTTAAGGATTTAATATATTTATACACTCGGCAATAACTATCGATCCACTGGGTGGTCTTTGGTATTATGCAAAACATACTTATACACTACCACGCATTATTACCAATGTATTTCTAATACCCACAGAGCTTATTATACCGTGCGGATCATTCGGTACCTTAAACAGTCATCAGATACCTATATAAATCCCTACCTTGAAACGCACTCTAGCGAAGACTCTTTGTAACGTTGTACAACACGCATTGCTTATGGACAAAACAGAGAAGGGGCCGAAACGTGTACGAGCACTGTGCACATAAATTGCATAAGACAATCGGCAGGGAGTTATACATATGCGTATACGTAATGGCCCTACGTCACAAAGGTACAAATCATAAATAGAGAACAAGTATGCAGGTACATATTAATGAACAGCATGAAAAGCATATACGGGGTGATTGAGAAATACGCGTATAGTACGTAAAACAAAATATTATTATGAAAATAAGTGACGTATAAAACAAATACCAATCGATAGGATTTATCGAAACAATAATTTATTATTCAATTTCAAATTACGATCAAGGAATCGATTTTTTTTTTTTTTTTTTTGAATAGCCATAACATTCTCCAATAATTGCGCCAGGCGAAGTGGGACGAATACAGAGGGCGCTAGTGCTTTCGTAGCGAATGTCGACGTATTGTCTTAGCAATTGCTGCCATTATTAAGGAAAACAATCGTGGAGTCGCGCGAGTCCCTCGTTCGTCGTTGCCGAGAGTAGAATGAGATTAGG